TACACTTGTGCCGAAGAGTGAGTTAAAAGGCTGGTACGCCTCATGCAATAAGCATTTATGGGAGTTTTCAGACTCATTAAGGTGTAGTAACGTTTCCTTTTGGTTGTAAGATGAAGCGTCCGTGTTTCTAAGTAAGGTTACCATAAAGAGCGTAATATCTTATGTCAACATACATTTTTTTATTGCCATGAAATCTGTGGTTATGCATTCAATATTGAACACAACGTGCTCCTTTTATTATAAAAAATAAGTACCAAATGTAAGGGATGCTTGAGAGCGTACGAAGATATCTTAAAAAGACTTCCCTACCGAAAAACTTAGTATAACCTTTCGCTGTCTGGACTATTTAACTGGAAGTCTACCTGGATTCTCTCTGGATTTCCAGTTTTTAGAAAATGGAAATTTTTAGTTTTTAACAGATTTCCCGTTTCATAATCCAGATAGGGAAAATTATACTGGGTTTTTCGGTAAGGTTATCATTTCGTACTCAATGATTTCAATATAAATAAAGAACGCTGTAATCAATACTCAATTCATGACCAAGGATTTGTCAGGTATTAGAGTTTCGCGTGTGTACGTCGTCCAGTAGAGTTTTATTTGCATAATTAATGTCATGCCTCATGAAACAATATTTGCATGCAAAACGCGTAGATGTAGTATATGGATTCTATACAAAAGAGGCACAATCAGATAGAAAGGTACTCACAACACACAATGTCGGGCGGTTACCACGTGCTTCTCAGATATGAGAACACCCGAACATATAAAGAACGGAAAGAGCGCATTGGTGTATATCCCAGCATGCCAGGGCCAGCTGCCCGGCACGGCTTCGCGTCCACCGTAAATGCGGTCTTCTTCGTCGAGGACTGGTTGAATTCGAGAACGACCACATGGTTCTAGAAAACACGAGGTCTGTGAAACTTCACACGTGCGACAGTAAACTGAAGTAGTCACAGGATTTTGATTCAAAGCTAGGAAATCTCACAATTTTCCCATATTCCATACTGTAATCAGAATTCATCACAATCCGATTTTTATAGACCTTTTTATCGCTTATCAACCGCGCGAAAAATTCCGAGTCACTGAGCTGGGGAAGCTCGCGCATCATCTGATAAACCGCAAAGCAGATCTACACCGCTTGCTTTGAAGGCGTTCCACAGCCCAGCAGACAAAGATGGTAGCGCGCAGAAGGCAATTTTTGCAGAAGTCTACAATTTATTTCGCACTACGTCCAAAAGCCACACCAAAAGTGCATCGTCACGCCGTACGTCGTCTTGATGTGTTTCCTAACAGCGGTTGAACTAACGATGCAAAGTGAGTCCGTCGTGGTCGTGCATGTTTTCTGTGCTCGAAGGGCTTAGCCGGCTGAGGGCGAATTACAAAAACAGCGAGCGCCGTGATGGTGCACTTTTGGCGCTATTTGATTGGCTGCATCAGATTGGTGAGTCGGTTGCCCTTGGACTTGGTGTGAAATGGAGGTTGTAAAATTACCTCCATTCTTATATTTCATATCTTCGGAACGAGGGCATTGCGAAATAATAATACAACACCCCCCCCCCCCCCCCCCAAATAAAAAAAAAAAACTGTTTTCAGTGTTGCCATAGTAGAAATTGAAGATAATTAAGCGGAACGACGATACCTTTAAACATTCGTGCTTCCCTGGCGCAATATTTTAGATTAAAACTCTTTGCATCAAGAAATAGTGAACAGTGTCAATAGAGACGTGTATGAAAGATGATTGAGTCAATCGTAGATTGGAAGTTAACTAGTCGTGGCCATTGTTATTTATTTATTTATGTGTATTGGCAATCGTCCTGTAGAGGAGACTCTACACTTAGAGTTCACGTTTGGTACGTCATCCATATATAGCACGTGTTTCCTAATTCTTTTTTGTGTAAATTTACTATGTTTTTATACTCACGCGTGCTTCGATTGCACTTTGTCTTTTTTATTATTATGCGACGCGTAAGAAAGTCTTTTTTTCATGTGTACATCTACACTCCTCTAACAGCCCCGAAAAGCGAGCACTATAAATAAATAAATGGATAAATGATAAATATAACTTACCTAGTTCCAGTCCAAGTGCTATAAGCAGGTGTTCGAAGAAAAAAATGCAGGACAGAGGTTTTATAATCATAGCCTGAATCTATTCTCAGCACGTGAGCAGTTTATGAACCACAGTGCAGATGTTTTTACTTGGGAACCTCACACGCCTGCGCTTATAGATAAGACTGCCCTGCGAGTTGCGATATGGTGTCCTTTATATGAAGCAATCGCTAGAGCGTCATAAGTCGTTTTATTGTGCGACATTGGGTGTGTCGCTATCAGACAGAAACCGGGTGTTTTATCTGCCCTTCTAGCTTTTATAGCAATATGTGTGAAGGATTAATCCCGCCGATACGTTTATGCACTAAGATCTGTTCATTTTTTGTTGGTGGCACTTCTTTACGGTAAGTGTCATTTTGGGACGTTATTTATTAAAAGATATAGCTGAAGTTGCAAGCTAACCGCCTTTTCACACGGGCCCATTTCGTTGCTGATTGAACAAGTCTGAATTGTCTAACAAACATGAGCTGATAATCTTCTGAAATTGGCGCTTTTTTCCAATAAAAGAACCTAGGACCTTCATTGCTTCTATAGCTGGTGATAAGGTTCTGCGATAAATTTTAACATGCTCACCTCATTCGGTACCAGTGCGACATGCATGTTACAAAAATATTAGGCTAAAGGCAGCATCACTGCCACACAACGACTTCAAACATACTGATGTACCTTAGCAATAATTAAGTTGTGCTTGTTCTCAAATGCGCTAACTGTTTATTTATTCGAAAATATGGTCTTCGAGTACTCAAATTTACTAAACTTTTACAGAAACGTTAGTAACAAAATGACGTAGGCACTGCATGTGCCCATGGCATACACTGGTACTCCTTAGACACTGGCACTGGACTACAATATTTAAAGTATATTTTCCAGAGAAGCGACAAAAGTACAAAAATACATTTAAATATCTTCGTTATTTATTATTACATCAGCTAAAACAAATATAAGGATTCACTTCAGCCTAATAAAAATGAGGCTTTAATGAATCAACTACGTAGGCACGAGAAAAGAATGGTGCGTTGATAGGTACGATGTGAAGCTATAGGATAGCCGATTTTAACATTGACATGAAGTAACCTAGTGCCATAATTCTCGGCCTCGAGTATGCAGATATACGTATGTTTCTACAATGTGAAATAGGCAAAATGTACCTGATCTAGTGTTTCAGTACTTCGATCTATCCTACTTGCGTGGAATCCGAGTTCCTAACCCCAGAGGGCTCCAAAAACGTATGTATGTACACAGACTCTAAGGAGGACGTAGACACGTGCCGGAAGATCAAGTCAAAACCGTTGACCTACAAATCCAGAGGAATCAGAGTAACCATTTCTTGGGTTTTGCGTCATACCTGGATTGAAGGGAACGAGAGAGCGCAGGAGACTGCTCGGAAGCTCATTTCTTGTCCCTACATCCCCACAACAGGCCAAAAAGCAAATCGCGACCACACTCCGCCAGAAATAACCCAAGAGCACTAAGATGACGAGGGATCCTGCGTCGTCTTGTGTAGAAAGACGTTGACCCACTACGAAACGGATACGGTTGGAGAGCTACTCTGCACCTCTGGAAATTCCGAACCGTAACGGCCGCGTCCCCAGCAGTTCGAGCCGAATTTGAGAATCAGGTACTGAAGAACACTGACGAAAAATAACGCAACGATGAACCGGAGCTTAGAAGAAGTGATCAGAAGACTGCCGCCCAAGCTACGTCCAAGTTCCCTTGGTGAGTGAACATGCCAGAGGTGACCTTCGCAAAACCGCCTTCGACGCAAATCTTTATAAAGACGGAAGTTTTCAATATTCCCCCTCCTGACCACATTCCAATTTCTCTCTCTTTCTAATATAAGTAAAACATAGATTAGAAAGAAAGTTGTAAATAAAGACATGTTTAATAATAATAATACAGTATCAGCACATCAGCATTTCATTGCCGGACGATTTGCGCAATGTTGTATGTTCGGTGATTCTTTCCCATTGTGAAGTTAATATGGCATTGGCTACATCGATAGACGGTACACTCCATGATGACGCTTGTTGGAGACTCAGTAGATGAGGCAGTTTGACAACAGAGACAGAGCTATATTTGTATGGCAGCTATTTCTGGGTGACTTTAATCTTGACTTACGGGCTACATGCGTCATCCGATACACCTGTAGTTGTGCACTTCAATCCCAGTTGGCAAGTGCGGAGCATCACCGACAATCCTTTCTTATAAGAACTCTGCAGCTATTGCGTTCACCACCAAACACGCTGACGGCCAGTATTCTGGCAGGGGAGACGAACCCCAAGGAATATAGTAGGGACGATAGACACTCCCTTCGCATTCTCTAAACCGCTCCCTCATCACCTTTCATACTTCACCCTTCTACGCGCGTGTGCCTACTATGCTTTCTTGTTTGTGTGTGTATGTGTGTGCGTGCATTTCCCATTGCACAATTTTTACTGTTAGGTGTATTAGGCCTTTTGGTATGGGCCTTCGACCTTCCTAGTAGACGCCAATTATCCTGGGTTAAATAAGGACATCAAGATTTATGGAGGAAGGAAGCAGGTAATAATACAACAACACGCATATCTGACGTCACACTGCTGCCGTGGCGCTGCTCTTGAAACGGCGCATGTGTAGACGTATCACTTGATGCGAGTCTGGTGTCTGCGGACGCGCATAGCCCACACGTGGTGTGGGTAAATGCGGACTCGTTTGTCGGCACTGTGTTGGTCTACACAGTACCTCCGAAGAAAAACCCTAAATCGTGCGCGAAAGTATCACAATTCATTCTAAAAATGTATTATTATTTTTTTCCCGAAACCTCCGTGACAACACTCTGAGTGTGACCACAATTTGTGGTTGGGCGCAATGGCCGCATCTGAGCCAATTACGAGGAAAACAAACGACCACATAAATTGCATGGTTTATGTATGTACAAGTGTCCTATTTATTTCGAGATTTATTGCTATTCAGTCGAGCAACAGATAATATTAGAAAGGTCCCGTTGCCGTCACCAATTCACACTCATCGCATCGCCTCGTCATTGAAGCGAACATAAAAGTGCCTTTTCTTTCCGCGTTTCCGCTGCCATATACGGGTAGATGAACTCCTTCAGAAAACTTGACACTTCGGTGAAGAGCATTGGGTACTTCTTGTCGCCGCAGACATGGGGACCTCCGGACAACAAACCTTGGAGAATCCAACGATCGTCCTTTTTCTGCACCACGGGTCCACCGCTGTCACCCTGTCGGGTGCAATTGAGCGCTGCTTTACATTTGAGAATCATAATGCACCCCAAGAAATCTAGGGTGTCTACCAACCTGCAGTGCACATGAGGGAACCAGTCGCTACATTCTACGGCAAATGGCGAAACTCAACACGCGCTAAGATCTCAAACCCCGGTCTGCGCTGTAATTGTAATAGTTATTATTATTGTAATTGTAATTGAAGATAAAATTTCTTATCCAGTGTCATTGCCCAGACTATTTTGCTTTGTGTAAACCAATTTTTAACATCGTCATTCGTTGAGCTGCTTCCGTAGATATCAGAAATCAGCTCTTCAAAGTGCTTTGCGGGAAAGTAGACGCTTTATATTCCTTAGAGTGTGTGAAATCCATTTTAATGCCAAACCCTACAGTATCTCACACACACAAAAAAGAGAGCCATTTGCATAAGAGAGTCAAGCGGATTGTAAACAGATCAACGACGTAACGTGTTGCACACGCGTGAGTGTCTGCATATTCATGTAAAAATGTGACACAGGCAACTCGGCTATTATAAAAATGGCCACTGGGATTCACGACGTGCGGCACTTAAAATAAAATGTATCTGTATTCACACCAGAACATTTTACGCATTTATAATATAAACATACACGCACACACAAGGGAGTGTTTTTGAACGTTCTAGAGCATGTCATTTATATAACGTGATTGAAACACTCGAGTTCAAAACAGTGTGCAAAAAGAAGATAGCTATGAACGTGCGTATTAGTGAAGATAAAAATACAGTCGAAGCTTCAGCGAATTGCTGAGAGCATGTTAAAAGCGGTTATGACACGCTGGCACCAGAATTTTATTCGGGCCCAGGCTCCGCCCGAGAAACTTTGTTTGTTTGAGAGTTGACAAAGCGATCTCGAATGTATCATTGCCGAGAGCATATTAGGGTATAAAACAAAAACGGACGACCCGCTGAGTTTCCCGCTAACACATATGGTTTAACTAGGACTTTCTGTTCTCTGATAAATCTACAATACTGAATGTCATGCCGAAAAGGGTTCAGAATGGAATCGAGTTCATTTAAAAAAGTCGATCGTCCATCTCTCTACACGATGCACGTTGGACGGATAAAGTTGGGCCTTGTCGAGCGAGCGACGAGGCGTCGAAACAGGTTGACTCAAAAGAGCAATCTGCATGTGACGAAGCGGAAATATGACTAGCTGTACTCATTTCTAAAGCGTTAAATAATCCGATTTACCAAAGTACCAACATCCTTTTATCATGGAATGAGCGCTACTACCGTATGTGAGCCAAGCCTCGCCATTCTTCGGCTTATTTTGCCTTCCACATGGAAACACGAGCACCCCGTTTTGTCTATCACATTCATAGCGGCCACCAGTGCGCGACATTCAAAGACGTCAAAGACGACATCGGCACTTTTCTGCGTTTTGCTCGGACAGAGTATTGGCGAGAATAAAACTTCATCAACGAGGTTACTGCCCTGAATGAGGACTTTTAACCCCTCTAATAATTTTTATAGCATCTGTCCAATTTTAAGGGGAAGAAAAGAAAAACTAACAGTTTGTCTGCTTTAAAGGGCAACTCCGCTTAATTTCAAAAATTTTGAGATAGTGGCTGATTTTGCTTTTTGAAGCACTCAAAAACAATCCCCAAACCTTTGTTTCGCGAAAAATAAAATATTTTTCGTGTAATTTTACTTTAGCCATGATCACAAACCGAAACCGAAACGGTGGCAAAGCCGGACAACATTGTATATTCGGCATCACTAAGCATGTACACCAACGTAATATACAAGGGGAAGAAGGAGCTCCCCTCTTATCAGGATCCTCCTTTGTGCGTCCCTGATCTGCAGAGACGTCGCTATTCTCCCCCCACAAGATTATAGAAGATTAGCCCGTCACTCAAAATTCTTACAAAAGCAGCTTCCCTCTCCTCCTTTTACTTGGTGTTCAAAAGTATGCGCACTGAACACACAAGCCGCGCTCAACGAGGCGAAGGGCCTATCAGTAGTATCAATAGTCGAGCGCCGGGCCGGCCGAGCGCGTCACTCACGTCTCTCACGGCGCTGGCGCCACCCGTGCTCTCCCCGGGAAAGAAAACAAAATTGAAAAAAAAAGGAGCTGTACATGCTTGATGACGTCACGGACGTGCCAGGAGAAGGAATTTGGAGGAAGCGGAAATGCAGCCGGGCAGTGTTGTCTTGCCCGCACGTCTCATCCAAAACCAGCGGATTCGTGCTTGTCAAACTTTGACAGCGATTTTAATGAACATCTAGGCGGAATCCCGTCGTAATATTTGCCATGGGGGTTTTGTAGATGATAACAAAGAGAACTGTATAGTTTTGCACTACTGGAAAAGAAGCGGAGTTGCCCTTTAAGAGAGTCGCGCTGTGTACCAACTTGACAGTACGTGTATGGTCAGCGAAATTAATCTAGCGCTTTAGTATTCTCAGGCCAAATTTCTTTTTTGGGCTCGATATTTGTTTCATAAGCGATTTTTCTAAATCACCGTAATTGACCTAACGTGTGTTTTGTTGAGAGCTAGGTTCATGTGCGCGCATATTTAGATCGTTTACCTCACAGGTGGAACCGTAGTCGTGCGTGCCGCAGATTGTGGTGCCCGGAATGGTCAGGTTGAAGTCGACAGAACACTTTTGCGGCTTCAGGAACCGCGTCTTTACCTGCTTCAATGTCGGTGAGGCGTGCACTCCTTTAGCTGAAACAGCAAACGATGAAATTGGAAAACACGTCGGCAGTTTACGTCATAACGTCTACCAAACCAAGCTTGTTACATCTATAAGCCGCAGCTCAAATGGCCTAAGCACAATATTTCAGCATGGCAAACTCTAAAATTATTTTAAAGCCATATGCTTTCCGTGATCAGCCAACATCTACTAGGCAAAAATAAGGAACAATCAATGTGTTGCATTAGATAGTGATATAACACTACCATAGTATGCGCCACATGTTCGCCAGCGTAGGAGGTTTCAAGACCATGCATTTAGCTGTCAGATGTATTGAAGCGCTTACGATCATTAATTCCCCATCCTGTGATATAGCCCACTGTGCCGCTTTCTACTGCTTCGCCGCTCCTCGGCAAGCACGCTGGTATGATATGGTCCGTAAAGTTAACGGGCCGTTTAAGCGTGATGATGGCAATGTCGTTCTGCATGGAAAAAATACAATTTTGGGGGTATATCAGGATTGGCCATAATGGCATGGCTTAGAACCGTAAACAAAAAATGTAGTCTTTACCAATAAAACCGCAGAGGGGGTCTTAGCTTTATTTTAAAAGCATACTTCTGATGTAACACTGGCTCGAATTATAGGTGTTTTGCACGTCATCCTTTACGCCAAGAAATACGTGAGAGCCTGGTTGGAATGTATTCAGTGTGGTTGTATCGGTGTCAAATTTGAAAACCTATGAAGAATGTGATTGCATCAATAATATAATTAAGCCCCAGGGCGTTTAATTGTTTTTTATATCATTAGTTCTATGCGTACAAGGACGAAGTCACCTCTTGAACGGGCTGCACCAGAGTCTCGCATGGCAAGACAAGGTAGCGGCGATGTCTATGTTAGGTTGACCTCTACATTCCAAAACACAGGCGTCTGAATCTACACGGCCTTGGCTAATTACAAGGTCCAAGTATCGTTCTAAGGTGATCTGCGTTTCCTCTCTTGTCATGACGGTTTATTTGCACGTGAACATTTACGCAACTCAAGCCAGTTTTAATTTGAAAATCGTATCTCTCTTGCATGTGGCGGAATGATTACTGACACATTTTATGAACAACCATCTCTTCTTGGTATCAAGTATGCTTTGTTTTAGGAGTTTCCAGATAGCGACAACCGCAACTTGACTTTCACGGGTATAGTACCCTGTACTACGTCCACAACATTCTCATATTTCCTAAATGAACGGAACAAATTGAAGTAAGAGCGTAGTGAATAGGATTTCGTATTCTAAAACGTACATCAATTGATTTAACGGTAGGTTTGCTCCGGCCAAAATGATATTACAATTTTTTTAGTTAAAATACGAGCTGGTAAGTTAATCATGCCTTGCGAGAAATTTCATGATGTAGTAATCTTGAAGGAAAAACAGCTTTATTCTGCATCTTGTTTCGAGGTAACACGATTTCACGGAGTATTAAACAATACTATCTCCAGAAGAGGAAAATGCATCTCCGCCGAATTATATCAAATAAGAAAATACGAGCAGAACTGTCTTAATAGTGATATGTTAAATTTGCGATTGGTATTCTACAATACTGAGACAGTTATGTTACAAAGGTGTAATACATTATAGGCTCTGCGATAAATTGGTTTTTATAAATTGTTGCGTTTTATATTGGATTCCAGCATTCAAAAGAAAGACTCACACTTGATACTCAAATACAAGATAACAGATACGGTTTGCTGGAGATAGTTTGTGGCCGCTATGGCAAAACGTTTTAAGTGTGTATCAGGCATATCACCGCAATTAGCTTTAGACGGTCATCTGCACCCTCTAAAGCTTTTTAACAACCTCTGGTGCTTCTAGTATTATTAACCCCATTTTAAAGAACAGTGTAATATTGAATTCCGTGGCACTTCTTTTGTAGACTATAGTTTTAGAAAACAAATTTAAGCAGTAGGGCTCGTTTCGCAACTTAGGTATGCGGTGAATATGAACTAAAACTAGATGATTTCTCCCTAAACACTAAAATCAGGAGGCAGTAACGTCATCTTAGTAGTTTTCATCTGGGTATAATCAATAATCTTATTGTAGGAACCTTGAAGGCTTTCAAAAAAAAAAGGAGTGCATTACTTCGAAAACCTTAAAATGTCTTGCCGCTCGTGAGAACCGAGAACAGTCGATGTATCGTGCGGCCTTCAATACTGTAACATTGTTTGTGTACTTCACTTGCAATTGTGTTTTTTATATGCCCACACATTTTTTACTCAATAACTGTCTGGAAAAAGTGTGACTTACGTGGCCCGTGTAATTTTTGTGGAGGCAGACTTCTTGAACGTCAACAGCTACTTCTCCTCTGTCGAGGAAGGTCCTCTTGTAGGAACCGAGGTGGACTCGGATTGTCTGTGAGGGTTGTGCCCTGTAAAAAATGCAATGAAAGAAATATTTTTTGGCCAGAATTTGGTTGTTAAGTATTGTCCAATTTTGTTTTTAATATCACACACAAAGAAAGAGTCATAAAAATGATTGATATAAATTCTGCAATATATCACAGAACACTTTCGAGCTTGTAGGATGTAGGCCATTGCAAGAAATCCACTACACTTTTGTGTCTTACATTTCTTGTGTTTAATATTCAGTATACCTCAGAACCGTTTAGCTTGTTCACTATAGGTGGTACCTTTACGCAACTTGACTCTCGGGTTCGTTAAGCACTGTGGTTGATCATACGATGTTTTTGTGTATTGCACTTATTAAAACTTTTCTCACTGAGAAACAACTCTTAATATTAGCGCAGTTACATTTCTTAATTAATCTCTGCTTACTACCCAAAATATCGAACGCAACTAACTGCTGTAGGTCGTACAAAAATGGCATCAATCTTCGTAAATAACAGTTGGCAGCAGTTAAGGACTAAATGGTTTATATTAGTTGACAATTCATGTTTGGACATTAAATTTTTGAATACAGCATTACGAATGATTATCATCAAAGAAACAGAAAATCCACTTCTGTTAAGTGTTTTTTTTTATTAAGAAGCATCGGGAACTACAGCCATAGGCCGTAGATCTTAATATGTTTACAATAAAGTTGTTTGCGCTCTTACTATATACATCAAGCAATCTAAAAAAAAACAAGACGCCAATATAGTATACTTCGCCTCTCAATAAATTGCGTGGTGCTATACAGTAGTTGAAGTTCCTCAAAATATTATGCGGAATTAGCGATAGAGTGTAGCGTGTGAGTGAATCAAATCTAGAACAATTATTGGCAGGTGTCATCTGCTCTACATATATATCAGTTACTTTCTAAATAAACATCTACTTAAACCCTGAACTCATATTTCTCCATGATACACTCGAAGCACCTAGAATCGTTAGTGTATTATTCAGTTCAACTAATGAATAGGAATATCGAAATCATTCTCCACTATCCATGCAGTATAGTCAATTGCGGCGTACTGAGGGGCCTAAGAGTCCGTATCGGTTCGACTACGGTAACTGGAACACGCCTTGGATTGATGTTTTTATCGCCTTTTACTCCCGTCCACCTAATTGGTTCTGAAGTGGGAATTACTTACGCCCCAGGAGCCTGCATGTCTTGCTGTCGGTCGTAGGTATCTGAACCCTGCTGAAGAACCTGCCCGGTACACATAAGCCCAACGCCTCCGCGTGCGGGTCAGTCGGTCCGGTTTTTCGGAAGAGGTCAGAGAGTTATCAAAAGTTGTAGAAATGCTGTCGAAAAAGAAGAGTGGACGCATGGGTTGCTGTTTTTTGCGATGACTAGTCTCGTGTCTGCTAAGCTTCGGTCGCCTGTCGGGCATAATGGGCGGCAGCTGAGGAGCTGTAGGTCTTCTGCCTACACCTAAGCTGCCGTGCCACCGCTAGGATTTCGGTAGGCCACAACGCGAGGCTTTTGTGACGCCATCAGGCAGAAATCGAGGCACCAAGAAATAAGGACTGGGTAAAGACACCCATCAGAGACTCGTTTCACGCACCATAGTTTAGCTAATGGTTTATAGTCAATGTGTCTGCTCGCAACCGAGTAAGGTGGCAGTAAACTCGGCCTTGTAAGACATACCTGACGCAGTGCGCGGCTGTGATGATGTGTCGATCCGAGACCAAAGCTCCGCCGCAAAACTGCTCAGGCCTGAAGTTGGACTTGGTGTGGATGGCCGCGTTCCAGGGCCAGCTGCCTGGGACGGCTGTGTCTCCTCCTAAGATACGGTCCTCGTACTCAAGTTGAGGCTCAACTTTGGGAACACCGCAGGATGGAACTAGAAGGGTAGACGAATAAAAAAAAATTAAATATTGTTAAAAAAGAAAAAAAAAAACTTGTCTCCTAAGAAATATAAAAATAAGTTTTTCTTGGACGTTTTATTAACTCTAAAAATGCTCATACGTTCACTTTCTCGACATGCTATGAAATAATCAATATCTTCAATCCACAGAGTTAGTTTACGAATTAGTAGCACAAAATATGTTTTATGAGCTGAATTTTATGAGAAGACCGTCGCTAAGAACCGCCATGGCAAACCATCACGAGGAATCATCAAGAGCCGTCAAAAACAGCGATGACGTGACGTGGCACCGTCACGTCAACATGACGTCATAACGTCTGTAAAAGATTATGATGACATTGTCATCACTACATTATGATGTCAACGTGACGTCAGGACGTAATTAAGTCCTCACCGTGACGTCGGGAGTTCATATGAGGCATTTTGGACGTGACAGTGTCACCACCGTGACGTCAAACGTCATTATAACGCTTCGGTGACGTCCTAGTGACGTTGTAATATTACGTTGCATAATGACGTCATGTCGTGTCACAATCACATGACGTCACAAAACGTCACGCGTACATTGCCGTCTCTAGCTCATTCACAACACAATCCGTGTTTCCACGTTTTTGTCAGCATGATCAAGCTTATGCAAATTAGTATTCATTTATTTGCAAGTACTGATGATGTCATCTCAGGTACTCTTGCAGGTTTGAAAAGTATACGAATTCAAAACATCAAAATGTTAAACGGTTATTTTCATTCAGAACACATCGCGTAAATTATTGCAATTACGGAATCTTGATACGAAATATTCCAAGTAAACCTGTTTCCGTACTCTACAATTCTCCGAGGGAAAAATCATAATTTCGAACAATTGATGGGGAGTGGGAAATATTAAATTGTAAAAGGGTGTGCCCCACGGGTAGCACAAATAGTAAAAATCTATGCACTTATCAGCGTTTGTTTACGCTGCCCAAGTATGTGTCGAAATAAAACTCGTAGCCGGCAAATCCGGTTTCTATTTTACACTGAGGCAGCTTAAGCCCATTGACAAACCTGTAACTGTCTTTAGACCTAATCATAAAGTTTTAGATGTGAAACGCAGCCTTACTTTAGCATGGTAAAACGTCAAGTTCACTGTTACATTGCAAACTGAATTTTATTTTTATGTATATAAACATTTCCTTGGGCTTCACTGAGCCGACTTCGCAGAGCACAGCAATCGGCTCTCCAAGGTGCATTGCCCGAAATATACCAACTTGATTTGTTAAAGGCATTTTTTATTAAACTGCTTAAAATAGTCTAAACTTGTTTCACTTTAATATTTAAATAGGACGATCAAGCAATCTCTAAATCAGGGGCCCAACGTGTCAAAACCTGTTCGGCTTCTTCGTCTGGGCGACTATGGAGGGAATCATAACTTCCCTTTGTCTACATAATTCAGGGCGTTTTCTTACACTGAGTTGGTGCAACGTTGTTCTTTGTACTTTCAAATATCGTTTAAGGTATTTAAAATGATCGGTCAATGATTTTACAATATACAGCACGTGTAGGGGGAGAGCAGTTTTCTTAGGAGGACGGGAAAAGGCCAATGATTGGTCTATCCGTAGCAAGTCATACGATTAACGAGGCATCGCTGGCCATCTAAAATGTAATCCACGCTGAAATTCTAAATATGTGAAAGACTTGCTGAGAGTATCATTATATTTTGTGAACCGAAACGCAATCATTAAATAGACATTTGATAACCCCCATTTACCCTTTTTGAAGGACTACCCAAACAGTAGGACACTTAAATGTTTATTGACTCATTCAAATATGCCGAGAAACCTAATATTGCAACCCGGAAGGTTTCTAAACTAACTAAATAGTTGCACATTGAGGTCCAATCTGAACGTTGATCCTTATCCCGTTTCGCCGCTGGGGAACTTTGGTTTGCCTTTCATTGGCTGCAATATTAAATGCCGTCAGAGAGGCAAGCATTGCAGTACACGGATGCGACGGTGAGGAAAACTTGCAAGGGGACGTTTTCATATAGTTGCTGGTTTCAACGCACTGGTATGTACACTATTTCCACTTGACGTCGTCCGGCGCGCAATTCATGTTTTCAGTGTTAATTTAAGGTCAATAGAAATACTGAGCTTTCACATTGTAGTTATTTTCATTCATTTCATTTATTCATCCCTTAAAGGCTCAATGGGCAAACTTAGTGTCTACCCTTTTCTTAGGTTTCGATAGGTATCACTAATATCAATATCCGTCGTCGACGCTGGTACTACAAGGTAATATACACAGGTCGACACAATAATACGGCAGTTTTGGAAAAAAAATAACCACATACATATATCTAAGCACTCTGGTGACTACTTTCGCCACCTTCGTGCGCATCCGGCATTCTTCCATCTTATGGAATAACAAACTAAGATAAAGCTCTCTAAAAAATAGATTCTCAGTCCGTTTACAAAGTCAATCATTTAAAACGGGATCAATCATTTAAATCAAAAAACCTGAGAATGAAAGTTATCTGGCTGGTGTTCACGTCCAAACAGCAAGAATCCCAATGTTCATGTTTATCTTACAGACCTACGACTTTCAGTATGAAATCTCACGGGCTAAACGAATTGTCTATTGTCAAGAAAGCTCGCTCACCATTTTGAGTCAGTGCGCACGACGTGGATAACATCAGGAACACCAGCGCTGAGGGGATTGCCATCTTGCGGATTACGATCTCTTCAGTTCATTACCAGCGGAGCCGTATTTAAGGCGTCCAGTTTCCGAGACTCTTGAGAACGCTTTGGGAAACCTCGCAGATGGTGCGGTCCCAAGGGCCAGCCACCATATCTTTCCTCCTTTTTTTCTCCTTGGCTGTAGGCATCATTTCGCAGAATCAGTGGTCCTTTTTTATATGTGTTAGACTTCGTCCACTCTTTCCTTTTTGTTCTCTATCGCGCTCTCGAAAAGCCTGGTCGCCGAACGGGTTTCACCACAACCATCTGTTTGTGCGTTAGAGCTGGTCTCAGGTGGACGCTCACAAACAAGAAGTAATTTGATATGTTTGTTTGCTGTTTTTGAGCTTGAACAGCACTTGCTTGACCTGGCGCAACGCAGGAAAACGCGCGTGTAGAAGAACACGTGGGGCGCCCAAGCAATTAATCAGGGATAGGAAGAGGAGGGGCTCCTTAAGCACCTAAAGCAGCGGCAGTGACTCCTCGATTCTGGCCGTTCCTTTGCGATCGGATGTTGTGAAACACGTTTTCGCAGGCATATTGGAAATCGTTTTGAAGCCTTGTGTGCGGGACGCTTTTTTTACAAGTACTGGCTGCAATGATACCAGGTGGTTACCAACACCACACTTCGCAATTCCGCATCCCGCTTTGACGTCTACCCATTGAGGAAGTTGGTTGATTGCGTACGCAATCTAGTAAGCGTGTTTCGGTCGCTGTAGTCGCTGACAGCCTAAGAAGTACAGGGCGTCGCCATTCACAGTATTGTTATTATCATTCCGCCAGCAAATATGATGCGGCATTAGCAGCTCAATAGTGGGCGTCGCAAAAAAAAATTACATGGTTTTATTCAGCGAGAAAATTAACTGGGCATCGGCGAACCCCCATTCTTTTCTCAACTGTAGAGCGAGCAGTCCAAACCAGATGCCGAATTTTCAGCACTTACTGCTGTTTTATTCACACGTTACACCAGATTTTCTTAAATTTGCAATGGGAAAGTGGTGGCCGACAGTGCACTCGAATACATGGAGCTCCTTGGCGCCAGTCACCGAAAAACGGGCGAAAACAAACACCATTTTCCCAAGGGAGTTATTAAAACATGAGTTATAACGGTATAAAATAATACGGTTGGTGTTGAAACTTTGTCACATGGTTCGGACTGATAGCGTTACATTTGGGGGGAAATGGCGTAATTTATTTTTGCGATAAAAAAAAAAACTGTAAATTTTTGGGGGGCACGTCATAGCCGAAGGCTCACTACACAGTAAAAATTGCGAACATAGAAAGCTACGTTCTGCGTTTCTGTTTATCTATCGGTGATTATACCAAATGAGTCTTGACTGAGGCAATCATCACAATTATAGATGAGGTGTTGATTTGTTAATCCGTAAATATTAAATAAATCATCATTTATTTTGTTGTTTTACGTTTTAGAGACAAATATTGGGAGAGCAAAAAAAGATTACTTTGTATTTTAGTAAGATTAAAATAATCATACTTGTTTACTGAATGGAAGAACCTTAGTCTTCAAAGCTCACTGAAAACTTCAGAAACGCGGAACATTGACTAATATGTTCACATTTCTTGCTGGGCGGTTCGTTCTTCGGCGTTGTAATCGGCTATGCCGCAATCTCCTTTGGATTTGAAGCGATCATAACTAAAACAAAAAAGCTTTCTCGTGAGTACAAGAGACTAGCGTAGGTCTCTTGAGTTGTACTGAGTGCGGTTCTAGTATCTCCTCACTTCGTACGCATTAAAAAATATGGCGCGCCTATTTTTTTCCGCAAAGCACTCGAGTGATCCAATTGGGAAGTCCGGTGCATGACGAGGCTGAACACATGTTTTAAACTAAACAAAAACTGTCTTGACAGTAACACCGAGCGTGGCATAAAAGCAGCTCAAATATCACGCTCAGTGTCGCAGCGCAGAGCGCTTGGTTCAATTCAAAACACATTTTCGTCCATGCCACTCAACGCGAGCTTCATTTCTTATATTGCGAGGATTGCTTCGCCCAACAGCTTGGCGAGAGTTTCAGGACACTCATGATGTGGCTTTTGATGCTCACGCTCCTTTCTAGAAACTCGATTCTTTCATTTTCATTCTGAAAGTGTTGTCTGCCATTGCGTAATACTCCACGTTTTCTTATTCCCCAGATGAACCGTTTTTTGACGTGGGAAGTGAGCATTTCGGAAGCTAAAGAACGCATGGTTACATTAAGGTGCATATTGATGCTACTTGTTGTGAAACTTGCTGCAGTTTGTAAGTTGGACTTTTTTGTGTTAAACATATACTGAGGCCAGAGTCTTGATTCATTGACTTTCCGTGTTAGTCACTGCCTCGAAGGTGACTATATCTCGCTGGGGTATTCTTCTTAGGAAGGCTGGCCTCGGACTTAGCGTCATTAAATGTCTGAGAAACCTTGACCAGGTAACATGTGCAAGGAAAGTTGCTCACTTCCTGAGGCTTCGGTTCTCTACGCAGGCATACATGGAAAGCGAATTAGGATAGTCCAGTAATTGAATACACATGCTTTAAAAAGTTTTTAAAAGAGAGAATGTAATAATATTTTGTAAAAATGATTGTTTATATTGTTTCGTTCGCAAGTGTGCCTCACTGGGACAGCTGCTCTAATCGCAGAAGCGAAATTTCAGTCATTCACGTTCTCTTGTAGTGTTTACGCAAAAAAACAAACAAAGAGCTGAGCTCACGCATCTTTTTATTATTTTTTTTTGTAACGTGAGAAAGGGGAACATCGATCGACTAGCGTGGGGGGCTTTGCCGCCTCACAGCTATTGTGTGGAGGTTTATTCTACTTCACACAATAGCTTCCCATAATACTACTACTGAGGTGAAGTGGGGTTAGTACCGCAACGGTTGTGACCGTTGCGGTGTGAGCTCCACTTCAGGTCTAGGCGGAGAGGACCTAGGCCTCACTCCCATACAGCCCATAGCGACCATCCTTCAGCAGCTCTCGCCGCTCGGCATCACCTGCTGTGGGAGTGCGCAGAAAGGCGGCAGGAATGGGAGGCTGCACCTGTCAAGCTCAGCCCAGCGAATCGACCCAAGACGCTAGAGGCTTTTGGAGGGCACCAACAGGCCCCAACGAAGCAAGGAAGCTTGTTTTCGACTCGCTATACACGAACTCATCTCTGTTACGTCACGGCGCGGTGGTGGCGCGTCGGACGCACTTCCGGTCCGGGGCTGTGGGCGGAAGTGCCCATCTGAGATATGTATTCCTGCGTTGTTTTGAAAGGAACCAGACAAAAACCTGCCTTCTTGTCAAAATGCTGCGACTGGGGCTATACCAAAAGGGTCGAGAAAGGTTTGAAGGTCAGTTTTCATGCGCTCGGCTTGTCCGAGATTGTGGATATGTGCCGTGAAAAGGGAAAACCAGACGCCGTCGGACCACGATTGCATGGGCGGGAAGCATTTTGGGTTGAATTCACGGATACTTATGGCCATCAGATTTATTTGTTTTGTTCCAAAATGAACGCCGGAAAACCGTCAAGTTGTACGGACCACCTGCGGACTACGTTCAGTGCGTCTTCAAGTTCAAACGGTCGCCTGATCGTTCGAACTGTCGTCTGCTCTTTCAAACGTTTCTGCTTGTCGTCTGCTCTCTTAGAGGACACCGGCCCGTAGACCAAACTTGGGCCCGGTACTTTCGATACGAAGTAAGTACAGGCCTCAAAAGACTTAAGTTTGAAGGTTGGTAAGCAGGTTTGACGTAAACCGTAGATACAAGGAGATGTTGATCATTGTTACCAGTGGCCATCACCGACTTGTTATGCCTGATTCACTAGGTTAAATTCTGCTTGCGATTTTCAGTATCGACGTCAACCATCTCAGCTACGGTTCACGCTTTTGCAGTCCGAGCGACGTCGTTACTGAAAATTGCGAGCGAAATCTTATCATGTGAATCAGGCTTTAGCGTACATTCTGCGGCGTCCACGCGGAATGAATCACCGCATGTCAGATTATTCACGCGAGAAGTTTTGCGGTGTAACGAGCCTCGTTAATTTCGCTGACGCCGTTCAAGTAGTCAGACATCGTTTGGAGGACGTAGAATCAACAATTCCAACGTGAAAAAGAGCGCGGGGACTCACACCGACGCCGACAACATCGCATTTCAATGGTTTGTTTATGGGCGACGGCGAGCTTCTTGCCCACACCCCCATCGCGCATGCGCGGCGCCGGTGGCGTCCGCTAGGGGTGCTCCGGGCGCTCCGGTTTTTTTGTAAACATGAGTTGGTGTATTGGCTGATATCAGAACGGCTAGTGTAGCCGGCCTCATATAGTTCTCCCTCCCCCAACTCCCCTCCCTCAAATCCCTCTCCCCTTCCCCTTGGCGGCAAGGCCTGCAACCGGCCGCGAAGTAACCCTCCTAAACATAAATAAAACGTTTTCAACAACAAAAACTCTTCTAGAATATCTGTCAAGTAGCCATTAAACACCACTGAAGATTACGATGAGTTGAATTTAGAATGAGGGGGGGGGGGGCTGTATTAGTGTTTCTTAAACATGTGCAACAGGCTCTTGAAATAATCGCCCACATTTAGTGCACACTTCAGTAGCATTGAGGCGTGATTACTTCAATCTGAGCTTTACAACCTCATAGACGCCGCACATGAACGTCAACATTCGACTGAAATCTTGCTAGTTGCATAAAATAATATAAAACAAGAAAAAAAAAACAAATTGGCGACGTCAATCTAAACTTGAATTGAAAACCCTACATTTTCATGCCCACTGGGCTTTTCTTCAGGGCTACTCTGGCGATAGCCGTTGAGTGGCAGTGTTTTTGTTTTCGTCTTCCTTTACAGTAGTGCCATTATTATTTCTTTTATATTAACACTGCTCCTCAAGTGCTATCACCACAGTCACCCCTCAAGAAGAGCCGAGTAGTCATCAAAACATAGGGTTCCCAAATAGGGCTTGGCTAGAAAAGAGTGGGGATGTGGCTTAGCTGGTTCACACTGACGAAAAGGCAAACAGCGTACAGTAAACGTGAACTAAGAAAAGTGGAAACAGGAAGTCGCCCTTTTTTTTTTAATTAACTGTATCACCTGCCGT